AAACAAACCACCTAATTTTCTCTTCCCTGAAAGTTATTAAAATGCCAGAAGTCAAATATTTTTTCATCCTAATCCAGGGACACTGCTAGCACTTCTGAGTAGAAGCATGAGTTTCTCAGTGACCACCTTCTCCTACTGTGATACATATTTTCATGAATAGCTTCCTAGGCTAAATTTATTCAGGCCAATCTGGCATTCATCCTCAACCCTCCAAGGAAGAACCGGGGGGGCTGGAAGGGAGAGGAAAGAGGAAAAAAAGGCACAAAAAAACAAAGAGATGGAGGAGCCAGCTGTCTCACTCGATGGGATTTCAGCATTGGCTGAAAAGTTACCTATATTGCCAACCCAGGCGAATAAAATTTTGCTAAAATATTTTGTGTTCTAAGATGAAGCATGTTACAGAAAATTTCAATCAGGCTGCTGGCAAATTTAATGATGCTCACTGACTGGAGAAAATAGTTACAGAAGCACAGAAAAGGAAAGTAAAAGAAAGATAAAGCCAACTGACTAGGGGAAGACTGCTTCAAAAAGCTTTTGGTCACCTTTATACTGTTTCCCAGAGAGGAATAAAACCCTTTGCAAAAAGGAAAGCATTAGTACTTATCTCAACTACCTCCCCTGCATGAAAAGCCACAAGTATGTCTCCAGAGGAACACAGGTAAGCTAGACCTCAAACTTCTGTTGAAATGAAAGGCTGGTTTGAAGATCCTCTTTTCTAAAAGAGTATTTCTGAACAACACTTGCTCAGCTTTCAGAAGTAGGATTTAACAGAATAGCTTATATAACCCTTGAAAAATAAAAATAAGCAACGCTGTAACCATTTTTTTTTCTTAAGCGCAATTTACCTTGAAGAAATAAAACCAAAGAGGCAAACCCAAACAACTATTTATCAATAGGCTCTTTTTCTGAGTCACCTAAATATTATTTAGTCCCAACTAAGAATGACGATGCTTTGTAGTGTTTTGTGCTTAACAAAGAAATACAAGGAGCTGTGAAACACTGACTTATCTATATCAAACACAGCTCAGCCAAAGGAACAGTTGTCACAACCTGACTACAGTGTCACTAATTGCTGGATTACTAATTCAGGGATCACACTGAAAGATGTTCAAAAACATCCACAATGACTGCTAGTTCAGGAGAGCTTACTTGAGTTTTAAGCCTTCGAACACAGTAGTGTTTAGTGGTCTCTCAATTTTTGTTAGCTTACATATTCATTCATGTGAGTTTGTTTGTTGAGATACCACTGAGGAATAAGTAGATCAATGAGGAAAACTCAAAGTGTGATAGGCCAAAGAGGAAACTAAAAGGTTTTAAAAAGTACCTGGAAAGTGTCTTCTAAAGAACAGTAAATTTAATAGCAAAAAGTTCTGAAGTTGCTCAAAATTGGCAAGCCAGCTAGAGAAGTGGTAGGATCACTTGGTGACAAGGCATGAAAGGGACACTCATTGGTAAGTCCATAGCAGAAGAAAACAATGAGATCTTTGTGTCAGCCCTCACTGCTGAAGATGTGGGGGAGAGAGCTCAGAAGAACTAGATGAGTTAGAAGAAAACACCTAGGAAGTGTCAGGCTAATCAGGTAAGTTATGTGCTTGCACACCACCATGACCAGATGGCTTTCAGCCCTCAGTTCTCAAGAAACACAAATGTGAAATTACGTTAAACGGCAGGCTAAGGTGCATCCACAAACGCTACAAAAAAACCACTGTGCCAGAATGCAAGTCCCATCTAAAAAATGGATCTCAAGAGGATCCTCACAGGGACCACAGACCAGTGAGTCTGATTCCTATCCCTGGTAAGATGGCAGACTCTATAACAAAGAATAAGACCACTGAGCACATGTGTTAACAGAGCTTGGCGGGAAAGAGTCAGCACGGCCTCTGTAAAGGAAAATCCTTTGTTAGCTTGCTGGAGAGTTATGAAGGTGTCAATGAACACATGGACAAAGGGAATCCTGTGGCAAAATACATACAGATCTTCCAAAATTCTTTGACGAGGTTCCCTACCAAAGTCCAGTCAGGAAACTTAAGTTGCCAAGGGACTGAAAGAAAGGTTCTTTTATGAACTGAAACCTGGTGAAAGGAGAGGTGAGTTCTCAGTGATCACTTTTCAGATAGGGGAGAGCCAGCAGCAAGTCCTCTAGGGGCAGGTTTTGAGGCCACTTTTATTAGGAATCTCTTATCAATGACCTGGAGAAGGGATAAGTAACAAATATTTAAGTTTTCTGATGATACTGAGTTCTCTGAATTATTCCAATGTCATGCTACATATTCAGACTACAGTGTCAGGCCTACTTTAGTATTTAAAAAAAAGAAAAAAAAAAACCCCAAAGAAAACTTCTCCCAAGATCTATTAGTCTGCCAGTTAATGTCTCACTCATGGTGCATTCCCCCACTGCCCTCCCTCTCCCTGGTTCTCCTCTCAGTCACAGACACCATACACACGCAGGAAGGTCAAAGGAAGAGAGAATAGCGCAGCACAGATTCAAAGAGTTATACTCTCATCTCTGCCAGTTTTTCTCTTGGAACCATCAGATAATGCACTGGACTTAGACTCCTCCTCCCCCTCCTCCCAGGTATTAATATGTAACAGTATCTGAACATATACAAGCAAACGGCCTCGTATATAAAAAGATAAGAAGTGCTAGGCATAAACAGCAGCATGAAAGGCAAGTGGAGCAACCTGAAGACAAAGAGACTTAAACTTGATGCAAAACATACAACAGAAAATTCAAACAGTAAAGCAAAGGGGAGAATTTACACTGTTAAAGGAAATTTGCTACTTTTCAGTATCACTAACCTAACAGAAAGAAGGGCCAAAGAGCAGCCAATAGCTTGAATCAGGACTCAAAATAAGTCCATCATAAGCTAACAATAAAGAGCACTACCATTTTACCATCTACAACAGACATAGCGCCAGCCAGAGTTTATGGATAAATAGTTGAATGTCAAGACAGAATGAAACAAGACTGCCTGACACAGCTTCTCAGTATTGCAGTTAATGTTAACAGACTCCAGTAAAACTTCATGTGCACAAATCCAATTTGAGATTAAAAATGTATATATTATTTCTAGGGAGTTAAGTTCATAATTTAGGAATATGACAGGATATTATTATTAAACACAAACCAACATGCAACCACTTAATGAGCATTTGATTTCCAATGAGAGATTACCTCATGTGTATAGACTTAACTTCTAGCTGCACTACAATGCCATGTAATAAGGTTAAAGCCATTAGACCTCATACAACAAGGGTAATACTTCTGGTAGCCCAGAAGATCTCCCTCTCTCCCTCCTCCTGTATACAGCCTTCTTATACAGTATTTATTTCCAGTTCAAATGAAATCTTTATTTTCAACATCCTACATTCAGACTATTACCTAAAGCTGTAGCGTAACAACCATGGCTGAGAATTCTGCTTTGCTGGCTTAGTATAACTGTATTTATAATTAAGGTCAACCTTACACAAATAGGCAACACAACTGCCTTGGGAGCCAAGTCAAGCCTGCAGAATGAACTCCTGTAAGATCAACACTAAATTCTACATATTCAGCCCAAAGTTCAAAGCATTCTGCTTTTGACCTTGCTTACATTAATGCAAAAAAAGACAAACACATTATCACCATGTGACAATTTAAAAATTGTTCCACATGCTCGTTTTCCCCTATGGGAAAGGAGATGAGAGAGAATAAGACACACATGGCATATCTGTCACAGCCACTTAATGCACTTAAAGCCTACAGATGCCATTGCGGTGAGGGCAGTATAGAAAGCTAAATACGGTCCTGCAGAGGAAGATGTAAATAGACAGAAACAATGGTCTAACAATGACAGGAGTAAAGAGAAACAGCACAGGAACTGAAATACACAATGGTTGTGATACAAACAGAGAGAGAAAACAAAAACAAAACCAGGAAAAAAACCCCTACCTTGTAGACAGTGAATTTATGTGAGGTAAAAGCAGACCTAATTCTGCCTCTTACAGAGAGATTGATAGAGGCTTCCCTAAACAGCAAGCAACAGAAAAGGGAAGCAGGTTAAGTGCACAGAGCACAAGGTCACTGTATAAATGCACACTTTCAAATAGTGACTCAAAAGCCAATTATATCAGGCTACTTAACTCTGTGGAACTGAACCCCCAGCTTCTTCACCAACTCTAGGCTGCATCAAAAGCATCACTAAGAAGAATCTCTGAGGTTACCGTTTCAATATACTGTCAGTTGCAATGCACAAAAGCACAGGAATCAAATTTGTTTTCTTGAACGAAAGTAACAAGTAAAGAATAAAATCTAAGAATTTTCTGCTAATAGCAAATTTCCTCATCTGCTATTAATTGCAAAATTCCCATGTGTATGGGTAAAACGGTGTAAATTCAGAAAGGCTTTCTTGGAGTAGCAAAGAAGAGTTTTTATTCAGGTATCTTAGTAGGAATGGCAACTGGTGCCTTACTAAACTTTGGTATGTCACCTTTTCGATTTAGTTCAGAGTTTGCAACGTAACTCCCTGAGTCACAGGCAATGAGTAAGAAGCAAAGCTGTGCCATTTCAAAAAGAGACTTGTCAAAGGAAATAATAAAAAAAAAAATCTTCAATGAATGAGGATGAATTTTCAAAACACCATATGTAAACTAAAATACAAACCAACACACCTCAAGGTAGGCTACGGAAACTTTTTGAATAGCACCATTCTTGTTTAAATGGACACTTGACTCTTCCTAGGAAGTACTATATTGTATCGGTATTGCAAGATGACAGCATAGGCTATGCTCATTATTGCTCCTATAAATGACACTTGATATTGTGCTTCAAAAACTCTTCCACAAATTGTGAAGTAGTTGTCTGTTTACATCGCTGTAGAATAATTATGTGTAACCTGACAGGCTGCTCACAGTGTAAGTCAGATCAGCTCCTTAACAGGCTTAACTCATGTACTGGCTTTTTAGAATAGCTTTAATGCTGCACATTAATGAATATGGTTTTAAAAAGAAAGAGTACTAACCCTGTAGAGAGGGTGGCATTTGTCCTTGAAACATGGTGCCAAACGAGCATAGATCTGCAGGCTATAGTAATAACTTGCCAGCTGGAGAGATAATGCAGAATGTAATTGTTTTTCAAAGCATTTGTTGGCATCTACCACCTAGGAGAAAGAGAGCATTAATTTAGGTAAAAGAATTAGCAAGCATACAACATTAAGTGCAGAAACTTGCTAAAAAGCTACTTGCTGTGATTTAGAAATAGCTCTGACTACGGTTTTCTGGCACAGAAGTAAATCAGTAACCTACACACACACACAAAGATATTTCTACATTATGATGTTTCTCCCCCCTTGCACAAATACCTAACCAAAATGATTTTCAAACTACAGTATTGCTGCTTCTATACCACAAAGTTATTATCCATATTTCTGAGCTACATTAGAACTGTCAGTCAGGTGGCCCAACTACTATTTTAAGTAAGAAAATGTGTCTTTTCACTGGTGCCATGTCCATAAGCCAGTCCAACAGCATTTGTTCAGCTTCCTTTAAATGCACAAGCCCAATCTATTAAAATGTGTATTTAAATGAATTCAAAGACTTAGATCCTAAAACCCTAGGGAAATTACATTTTCTTACAGAATTCTGAAATACTATGAATAGTCTTTCCTGGTAAAAACATACAAACAAAATCACTATAAACATACCTGTGGCAGTGCAAGTAGATAGGCAAGAGACAAGGCCATATCATTTGGTAAAGCATCACTTGCCAGTTGTAGCAGAACTGCAACATATAGGGAGTGGAAATAAAGCTTTGATTACTGACCCATCTTAGCCTTGACAGTTAGCAAATGAAATGTTTTCAGTGTAACCGTATTTTATTAGACACTAGCTTGAAGCACTCTATACATACTTAATTAAACACTTATCAGCGCAATCCAGAAACAGATAATATGTAATTAAACTGCAGAACAGCTTTACCTTGACTTCCAGGCAAAGCGTTCGATGCATTAACCAAACAAGAATGAGACTATGCAGTAACAGATGCTAAACAAAGCCACTAAAATATCACCTGTACTGATTTATGACAAGTAAATTTTTTTCTTGTAAAATCAAGGCAGCAATGTAATGTTGTAAGCATTCGAAGATACCAACCAGAGGAACAGTACAAAATGTCTTCTCTTCAAGCCTGAGCTCTAAGTCACTTGCCACTGAACACAACAAACCATATTAAAAACTTCGGTCTCAAAAAAAAAAAAAAAGCTGCAAGTGTAATATGAATTTTAAATAAGAACAGTGAAACACCAAAACCAGGTCCTGCCACATATTGCAAAGAGAAATATCAGCACAATGACACAGTCAAAATTAATGCATCGAAGAATAATTATTCTGATTATAAAAAGATATGCTTCTGGTAAAACTGACACAAAAATTACCTGCTTTTCCTACATTATAGATACCAAAGTTGGATTTTTGTTTAAAAGACTCACTATATCTTATGTTACACAAACAGGAGAACCAATACACAGACACAATCTGAGCACCCAAGATTTGTTAATTAGTAATAGGATCTCTTCTTCATGCAGTTATCTCCTTCTGTACTGAAGTCAAGGATTACTGCAGCTGCTACAAAAAGTTCCAACAACTACGGAGTAATGATTCTTGTGGTACACTTAATATTCAGTTTTGGGGGTAGAGAATATAAATTAGTAGTTCCAGGGACAACTTCAAAAACCTTATGAAACCTGGACCAGAAATTGCATAAGGAATTTTAAGCATACCAGGAAAATAACATTCTTTTTTTTTAAATAGATGATACTATTATTATTAGTAGTCCAATCAGTAGAAGCCATCTTCCAGCAACTTAGCTCCTTGTTTGTTTTAAGGAAGTCTCAAATACCTATGCTCCCCCATTACAGAAACTACTCTTGAGGGCAGGCTGGCAAGAAGCCCGATTACTTTACATACGCAGCCCCCCAGTAAATTCCTTGTTCCAAAGAATGATTTATAAAAGTCTTGAATGACCAATTACAATTTTCAGATTACCATTAATGTGCCACCAGCCTGAACTGGATTTACATGCCAGCCCTCAGCCAGATAAAAAAAAGAAATTTCTGCATGACAAGTCATCACAGAGGCTGTCTACATGGCAATATGTCACAGCTACTGCAAATACAAGCCTGTCCAACAGCACCTATACTCTATGCTTCAAATAGCTTTTACTAACAGTTTCTTGCTGCTGACAGCTTGTTTCTGATACGTTCAAAATAACCTGCATGCTGTCCAAGCAAAGATAATAGGACTCAAGAGATATCTAATATTAAAATCTTGACGAATTAGTTTGCAAAATTGCTATTTCCTACTCTGAGCACAAGTGAAGTTACTTTATATATTCTTACAACCACCTCTAGTTGAACAGAAAGAACTGGGAGGAGGGAAAGAAAAATTTGGGCTCTTCTCCCTTTCTCTGGAAAATTAATGATTGCAAAGCCTCGGGAATACATAATAAATTGTGTGTTCTCTTCCAACTTAACACACCCAACATGACAACTGCCACAATAGCAAAAATTTACCTTCACCCTTCAGATACCTATCATGACAAAGAACATAGCACCAATACAAGGCCAGAAAACAATATGATTTTATTCATACTCTTGCATGAAGCTCAACACAAAGGCATCCCTGTTGCCAGAATGTACTTAAGATGACAGACCTGCCTCCACTGTCATCCTTTCTGAGAAAAAACCATCCCCTGTACTGATTCAATAAATATAAATTTTCTCTGTGCTTGTGTGCAGATGTGTTCATGTATCCATATATAGACATCTACTTTACATATACACAAACACATGTATATACACAAAAACTAATTTCATACAGTTTTCTGTCTCCCAGTGAAACCCCACAGGAATTCTCCGACATCTAACAAGGCTGAGTTCAAATCACAGGCTATGGACATTAGCAGGATGCCGTTCTGTCCTCTCACACATCTTCACAAAATTTACAGGAACTATCATTTCAGACCACTGCCAAATTTGACATTTGCCAAAGGGATTAAACATTACAGGGTTGGCAAACCAGGGAGGACAGGCAATGACAACCAAAGAGCCAATGCTGCTGTCCCACAAGCAATACTTCCTTAGGAAAACACACATGCAAAAAAATTTGATTTTATGAATAATTTTTATTTCCTGTGCAGGTCTTTATTTTATGCCACAGGCCTGTTTGGAAGGCAAAGTATGGAAGAAAATGGTTTATTTGTGAAAACTGGAATTTATCAATACCTAGGAAGTTTCAACTCTTTTTCCATGTTTTTTTCTTTGAAAAAAAATGCAAAAACTGCTTCAACTCTTCAATTGCTTGCTTAGCACATGATAATAATCTCACTAAACTTAAAAGTGTATATTGCAGTTAAACAGCCATACCTGCAAGCAACTACTAAATCATGGAAAACATTAAGCTGTTCTCTGTTCTAAAACTCCTGAGGCTTAATAGGTATGACTGACTTTCTTGGGTTTACTTCAAGTTCAGCACCTATTCTGGTTACAACGAAATGCAACCATCAATTGTAGTAACCTCCCATCCAGATTTCATCTTCAACCTCCCCATCAAATCCCTAAGGGCTACGGAGAACGATGAATACAATTAAACAGAGATGCACAACGCTGCCTTGGTCATGCTAAGTCTGGATACACTAT